GAACAAAGATTGACCAAAAGCAGAAATGGGGAGGGGCCGGAGACAAAAATGTTTTCGGAAAAAATGGGGAAGGACACAGGGGAGGAAGAGGAAAGATAAGTAGGTCACTGTCTTGCACCTATAATACAAAGTGAAGAAAGTTTGTTTTGGAAGGTAAGTCCTGGGGAAATTTGACAGCCGAACCCCCAAGGAGAGGGTAGGAGGCCAGTGGCAACAGCTGCCTGGTGTTGGTTGCTGAAGCATTAAAAAGTGCCATGACGGAGCTGGCAGGAGGCAGCCCTTGGGAGCCAGGGCTCAGTGTGCTGTTACCATAGGGGCTGTGTGCTGAAGGGTGGGGATGGAGGTTATGTCTTAGCTCCTGCACTAGCTCCATACTTGTTTGCTGCTAGCCATCCCCTCAGTTGCTACAACACTGGCTCTTGTTCTGCTGGGACTGCTCATGGAGATCCAAGCCTCTGCTTCGGCCTGCTGCACCCCCAGATTCTGGGGTTCACTCTTTGGCAACTTCTTAGTTATTGCCGGGAAGAGATCATTCACGTTCATAGCTGCCTTGGCTGAAGTCTCCATAAATAATAAGCTGTTGTCATCTGCATATGCTTGGGCCTCCTCATAGTCCACCATGCTTCTGTGAGCCAGGTCAGCTCTGTTCTCAGCCAGGGCAATGACAGTGCTGGGACTGGCTTGCCACTGTAGTTCCTTCACCCATGTCTTTGCTCGGGCAAAGGTTTCCTGATTAGTAATATCCTAAACCGCAATTGCAGCTTGGGCACCCCTGTAGCACATGGGGGCTAAACTGTGGTATCGGCCCTGCCCAGCTGTGTCCCAGATCTCAAACTTGACTGTCGTATCATCTAGACAAATGGACTGGGTAAGGAAGGCCGCTCCAATGGTACTCTCCTGGTATTTGTGGAACTGACCTTTGACAAAACATAATGCCAAGCTAGACTTTCCCACTGCAGTTTCTCCCAGCAAGACCAATTTGAACTGGCATATCTTGCTGGCCTGGGGCTGCCCACTGGGCCTGAGCATGCTTCTGCTTGTCATGGGCAGAGGATGAGTGAGAAAGGGAGGAGGGAGGGGGTGCCACAAAGCGGCAAAGGGAGGTGGGGGGCACTTCCAGGCTTCAACAGCCCTGGGGCTCCATCTCCCCCGCCAGGCCCAAGCCTCCCTCCTATTATGTATTAACAGTTCCTTCCCCCCTTACATTTATTTTTTTCCACATCTCTAATATTCTCTAGCATTTTTGATCCAACTACGTAAAACAGCATTTAAGAATGTGCTGTTAATTAGGTAATTGTTTCATGTGCATTTTTACCTCTTCAGCTTGACATTTTTACTTTTTAAGTCTGGGTATATATCTTACACTTTCTTTATTTATCTTTTGCGCATTCCCCTTGTAGCTGGCACAATGTTAAGAAAACCAATGTGTTCTCCAAAATCCTTGATTGATTGATTGAAATAATTGCACACCACCACGTTGTTTTTGTCATTAGCTGACAGGATCAAGTTTTAGAGACCCAGCTAAATGCCTGGCTATCAACCCGCCAAGAGTGACGCAGATGGAAGTCATCAGACGGAGAGTTAGACGACTCATTAACTCCAACGAGACTGCTACATATTAAAAATTCTCTTTATGGATTTTGATGAATTGCATTGTTTGATTTATTCTCTTGTGTTCAAACTATATTTGTAATGTATCTAGAAATAACATCACTTTTAGATATATTAAAAATCGTCACTCACTTTTCCTAGAGTTGTCATCTTAGTTTATCATTAAAAAGTTTTTTAAATTCCCATGACTCTTGTGAAAACTATGTTCTACATAGTGCAAGAGAAGTGGAAGGATTTTTAGAGAAATTTAAAAATCAGTAAACTTATTGAAACAATAATATTTCTTATTAAAATAAATCCCTCCATAATAATTAGTTTAAATGGAATCATAAGTTTTTTATTTTCTTAATCACATCTCTCATTCTCTTTCTGTCTGCACACACACACACACACACACACACATCCAAACACACACATACATATACAACAGAACAGACAGCAGTGCATTTCAGATTAAAAGGATAACACAATTTGAGACTGTATCTTTTACCAGATTGTTATTAACATATCTTCTTGAATAAATGGATAACATTAATGAATCTAAATTTTACTCTAAAATTTTATTTCACAAATGTTGCTATATTGTAAGGTAAAATATAATATAATGAAGATTTAGTTTTTATTTATTTTTGAGTTTCATTTTTCTTTTTAGCTGCCTTCATTCTTTTTTGTTTTTTTTTTTTTTTTTGGTACTTGGGACCTTGTGCTTGTGAGGCAGGTGGCAGTGGCTGCTTTCTTTCTTAATTCTTGAAGATTTGCCTTCTCACCTACTCAAATTTTATTGATCCTTTTAATCCTCAGTGCTTTATTTTTACTTGGAAAATAGTTGTTTTCAATTTTTTTCATGGACTTTTCCTTTCCTTTGTCTGTGAAGGCAGAGGTAGTTGATTTTCCATTGCTATTAGACTCTGTTTATTTTATTCCCACACTCGATATTTTTCTGCTCTTTTCCCTCTCCTCCCCCAAATCCACAAACTAAACTTATCCTGCATTTGCCTTGATAGATTTTTAAAAATTACATGTGGTCAGCAGACAGACAGACACACACACACATGCACGCACACTCACACTGTCTCCCAACTCTTGGGTAAGAAATACCTTGTTTTAGTGGCTTTCACATAGAAGTATTGAACTTTATTCTTTAATTAGAGCTGTAGTAATTTTAGTTTAAGAAGAAAACAAAGTGAGAAAGAAAATGATGTCTCTGTAGGATGGTACTTATGTCTGGCTATGTTCTTTGGACAAGCCACAGATAAAGGATGGTAAGTGTTAAAGGATGGTAAAATTAATGTTCAAAGTATTATTAGATCACCACACTTAGGACAGGTATTTGCCTTTTCAGATAGACTTATCTTATTTTCTGTTTCTGTTAATTTAGAAGAATCAGAAAGTTTAACTGTTGAGTATTTGCTTTAAAAGCTAAAGGTCCCATAAGGTTGGTAATTCAGCTGATTTTAGCATGCACAGATGATAGACGCTGGGCAAACTTGATAATTTATAAGACCAAATGCTTTCATTACTGTAAGTATAGCTGGGCCTCATATATACACTTGTTAGTGTTCGATTCTGCAGTTCCCCAGCCCTGTGTTAGAGAATGTTGAGTAATTCCTGTTCCTTTAGGACTAGGACTTCCTTGTCAAGTGGTGGCAGTCAGGAGTGATCGGTGCTACTCTTTGCTCTTTGGTAGTGCTCCAAGAAAATAAAGAAAGAAAGAACACATGGATTTCCATCAGTTCCTGCCATGTTGGAGAGCTCTCTATAGCTTTGTTTGTTCTTAAAGTTTCATATATATTCTCCAAATGCTCTTTACTAAGGGAGCCGCATTTTAAAACTATGGAGTTCATCCTATTAAGTGCTAAAGCTAAAGAAAATTTATTTTAAGCTTCCTCAAGTCACTCTTCAAAACACATGTTTCATGCTTGATCTAACTCCAATTTCCCTTCTTCCTGGGAATCAAGACATGACTTTGAGGAAAAGAAAACCTAAAAATGTCTGTGTTCACTGTTTAATGGCAATTAACCACTCCAAGGTGAGTTAATTTTGCAGTTTTGGGGGGAAAAATCTTTTGTTAAAAGTAAATGTAATAGATCTTCAAAGTAGCTGGCGTCTGTGAGGTATAAGGTAATAGTTTTATTCCCAGAAAAGGTTTGAAAATGGGGAGCAGAAATGTAGTGTTCTCAATATTTGGTTATTCTCAAATTTAAAAAAGTAAAAATTAAGTTCCTGTTTGGGAATTCTTGGTCAAGACTCAAATTCTTAGTTGATTTTTTGAAGGTTTTTATTCATCTTTAAACAAAGGTAACCATTTTGAATAAGAGAGTTTGTCACTAATATGATTACTTCTTCTCCAAAAACTGAAAAAAAATGTAATAGAAATAATGAAGTTGCTGCCCAGGGCTATCTTTAGTTCCATATTGACAGTAGAAATTTCAGTGCTTTAAAAGGTAATTTCACATCCCACCAAATGCGTTATCTGTTGTCTTATTCCACTCAAACTGCTACAACAAAATACCATAAATTGGGAAGCTTATGACAACAGAAATTATTTCTTACCATTCTGGATGCTTGGAAGTCCAAGAGTAGGAACCCACATTTGTTTGGCTTCTGCTGAAACCTATGGCGAATGCAGCAAGAGGCAGTTCATGCCAAAGGAAGCAATCCCATGGCTAGACAGGAAGCCAAAGACAGGAAGACCCAGTCTGGTTCTTTCACAGTAATCCTCTTGTGCGAGCTACTCAGTTCCAGGAGTATTGCGTGGATTCCCTTCTGGGGCAGCAGCACAGGGACCTAACCACCTTCTATTTGGCCCAACCTCTCAAAGACCCCTTCATATTAACACTGCTGCACTGAGCACTGAGCCTGCAACACATGAACCCTGGGGTGAACAAAACACTTCCAAATCATAGCATGAACTTTGCAGATTTTCAATTTAAATCACCAATCTAAAGATAGTGAGGTTTCACATTCCTGCATGTTCTCAGCATCAGCAATATATTCATTATTTGCTATTTGTGTTAAATAATAATAGTTTTTCTGACCTAGCTATGCCTTTAACAATTTTACCAACAACACATTCACCATCATTTCAATTTATCTACAATTCGTTCTTGTTCTTATCTCTTGAAAACTAACTTATTTATTCTTAATTTTCTTTTCATTTAAAGCACTCAGTGATTCCCCCCCCTATATATATTATATTTGTCAGTCTGTGAAGGGGCTTCCAAGGAGAGGAGAACATTCCAGTTACATCACAGTTGGGATTATGAAGTTCTAACATCAACATTTCACCTCCCCATGCCAACCACATAGGTTGACAAAAGTCCATTTGAATCCTGTGTGACATCTTGGCCTGTTTTGTCCTCAACTTGTAGCCAAACATATGGTGCAGGGCTTTGGAGAAGAATCTTTAAACTGGCAGGGGCCCATCGATGTCACTGAGCATGTACGCCCCATTTTAGTCAACATGGTTCCAAATTGGAGCCGGAGCCCTGTCTATTTGTGCTGAAATATGAGGAGGTCCAGATATTTTTATATCTCCTAAGCCTTCCAGAGAAGTATAATTATCAGCACTCCAAAGAGCTAGGAACATAAGCCAAATCCAAACAAATTAGGGAGTGAGAGCAGAAGAGCTACAGCTGTTGGGTCACACTGGGTATAAAATGGTTGAGGATTTTCAGAAACTGGAGAAGAATGTCACCTCAGTGAAATTTCAGTGATAAAATGAACTTGCTCTTTAACACTTTTCTCTCCAATACTAGAGGAAATCAGCTCAAGAGGACAATAGCTTCTAAGTATGGATGGAACAAAAATGGAAAGGCAGAAATGGTAAAATTTCTGAAGAGTTAAATTATTTGATCATGTGGTTATTGTGAACTTTGTTGGGGGACAGAAAGGCATAATGATAATATCAAATAATTTATTTAAAAATTTGACTTCTAAGCACAGAATTAAAAATCCTAATTAATTACAATTAGAACTAGAAATCATACTTAACCTTGTCTCTCCACAGTGATATTTATTGCTTCTCTTCTGAATGCCTGTTTTCTTATTTCATGCTTCTTTTTATTTTCTCATGAGTCTATTCTAGCTTGTCTCTTTTCTTGACATATTGCTTACTTGGCGTGACCGGCAAATGAAGGACTTCAGTCAAGCTTTTGTGTATTGTGCCTTACTTTATGATTTAGTCGCATATTTTATGTTGTATGATAGCTTTGGCAGTTTGATTCTGTGTTCAAGTCCTGTGGAGCTATTAGGTAATGAATGAAGCAGAGCTCAGAAAGACCTCAGAGGGGGGAGGATTATGGTGAACTGCAAACCATACGCCCATCTGAAGGGAAGGGAGCTTCCACTCCTCAGCTGAAGCTGAGGGCTTTTTTGTTGTTGTTAGGCAGGAATGAATGAATCTGGATTACTATGTGGAGTTATATGATCCTTAAACATCTATGAAATTATTTTTTCTACTTTTTAAAGAGTATGCCAGAACAATATTGCAAACAAAGCTCTGTGGAAACTGCATTTACTCTAAGGAACATCAATCTAGAAACTTTGCTCTAAAATAAGCAATCTTCACCAGAATTGATTCCAGTGAAATATTAAGAAATTTGGGGGCCGGGGATTTAGCTCAGTGTCACTGCGCCTACCTTGCAAGTGCAAGGTACCAAGTTTGATCCCCAGTACCGGAAAAAAAAAGAAAGAAATTTGGGGATGTCTGAAACAGTGAGCAGATTTTGTCTCATGTGACCTAAGCTCTTTTCTGGTACAGTCTTCCTAAGAGCTAATCTCAGTATTTTTCTTTCACTCTTTGGATTCGGTTAGTAGCTTGAACCTGTTAATTACTCCTTCTCAATATCCCTTAAATCTTAATTTTGTCTCTATTTTCTCTGATGTTTTCAGTTGGGGTCTCATCCCTTTACTGGAACCTTATCTATTAATCTTTTTCTGATAATACTTTACCCCTCCCTCTACTTTCCATTGTACATGGAATTATTATTTCTTTGTTTTCTCAGCACTCTCCTCCTTCTCTGAACTTTTGTCATGCATGTTATAACCTTGTATTTCATTTCATTTCATTTTTCCAAAGTAACATGCCTGAATCTCCTTCAAAAAACAGCACAAGAAACCCAGAATAGTACATTTCCTAAGTTTCTAACTTCAGTCCTTACTCTGATAAGGAATTCAGCCTCCATTATTCATGCAGCTCTTTCATCCCAGGATCGTTGCTAAAACTCTGAAGGACTCTAATGTAGTGCTGAGATGTGATGAGAACTTTGATCACCTGTCATTTGAATTTATGCCTGAAATAGCTTTTTCTAGTGTTCACACGATCAATTGGTGTGACAACACTGCCACTTTTGTGCTAGGGTTATGCACAGTAGAAGTCCCAGTGAGATTCCCTGAATTGGTCCATTTCCCTAACCCTGAATTTCTCAATTTCTGCTTCTTTATTGTGCTCTTTATGTAATTCACTGTCTGTTTCTGTATTGTTGTGGTCCTTTGGAAGACTAAGGACTATTGTTATACCTAAGATGTTCTTCACCCTTCAGCAATCCACTTTTGCTCTCTGGAACATCACTCCAGACACAAGAAACAATCCTCCTATTGGAGTCTGGGTGTGTTTTGAGTTCTTGCCAGAGAAAAGTGCTCAGGTTGCTGAAGTCCTAGGATAAGGCATATTGTTCCAGTCCATCCTCACCTGGGAGATCTCTTTCTGGTGGATGTAAGCATCTTGCGTATCTAAGCCACTTTACTTTTTCCCTGAAGTCATTTTTTAACAAGTTCCTTTGATAAACTGTTAAAATCAGGTGCCAAAATATTTGTGCAAAATTTCTGTTTTCATTTTTCTTAAGGCAAGAAAAAGCCAAACTCTCTCAGTACATGAAAAAACATTGCCTTTTATTTTTTATAGTAAATGAGAAATGTCAAATGAATTTATACTTTGAAATTATTTTAAAACCATACATGAAGAATATTATGCCAAATGCGTAACTGTCTTCCTCTGTGAGGATATGAACTTTGATAGGTAGACCATGGCTTTCTTATCTGCATAACTCTAAAACTCCGTAAAATCCCTGTTCACGACGTTTTTGAATAAATAACATTGTTCTAGACCAAGGTTAATATATTAGTCTACTCAGGCTACATGATAATTACTACAGACTGTGTAGCTTAAGCAGTAGATAACATTTTCTCATGGTTCTGGAGTCTAGAAGTCCAAAATCAAGGTTCTGGTAAAGTTGGTTTCTGCTGAAGCCCCTATTTTTGTCTTGTAGAAGGCCATTTTTTGCTGTGTTCTCACATAATGATCTTTCTCCTCTATGAATAAACATACACAGGCAAAGAGACAGAGGAAAAGACCTGCTCTTATGCCTTCATTAACCTAAATTATGTCCTTTAAATGCCCTATCTACAAATATGGTTACATTGTAACTTCAGGGTATAAGTTTCCGAGGGGAAGGGGAGTGGCAAAATTCAGTCCTCAACAGATGGCAAACATTTTCATAAAGGGGCAGATAGTATTTCATGTTCTGCAGACTATATGATTTATGTTACAATTATTCAACTCTGTCATGATAGTATAAGTAAATGAGTGTTCCATGTTCTGATAAAACTTTATTCACAAAATGAGGCAGAGTCGATCTCCCCTACAGGTTTTGCTTTTCTAAAAGCGATATAGACTGCTACATGCTTTAACTGTCTTACCTACTTAAAGGTTTATTTATTTCTGCTAAGTATTTCGTAAAATCCACTCTTGCAACCTTTCCCAACTTCTGTTACCTTTAGAATAAGGCACAAGCATCTCTACATGAGGTCTTTTATATTGAGCCAACTGAAGCCAATCGAACTTCTCTTTTACTCTGTAGAATAAAATCTTCATTTCTCTAAACAAAAAGGAGCATTTTTGCAATTATTATCTTCATCCAAGGCATTTCTTTTCTGTCTGGAATGTCATTCCTGCTCTCACACACCACTGCCTCTACCCCATCTACCAGTAGAGCAGCCATCTGACTCTGCCATCTTTGAAGCAGCTTGAATTCCAAAGTTATTCTTTTTTTAATTCTTCATGAATTTCACCAGGTAAATATCAACACAATTCTCTCTAAATTTCCATTCTCAGGCATTTCTATACCACCAGCCAGCAATCAGCAATTTGAGAATCTTCTGGAAATTCTATAGTTTTTGGCAGCAAAGTGCTTTTTGTAAGTAGAAATCCATGCGTTCAAATAAGGCTGATTTTTCCCCTCACAGAAAATTTGTCAATCCCTGAAGAAAATATTGATGTTATTATTAAGTGGAAGAGAGGTACGTTTCTATTTTTATCATGAAGGTAGTGCCCAAGGATGCTGATAAAAATCCCACAATGTACTAGGCCACCTCCCACAACAAAGAACCATGTGACCCAAAATATTAGTAGTGGTGAGTTTGAGAGACCACCATCTAGAGTGGTCAAGAATATTTCTTTGCATTAAAATGAGCTAATTCTGTAGCCATGCCCTTAGGTGAGCCCTTATTGCATTAACATAGATGCATATGGTTTCTTTACAGCTTAGTTCTTTATTTATACATTTGTTTTCATACTAAGCATTTTTGTTGACATGATTTTCTTAAAGCAATCAGCATAGCAGAGTCCATTTGGGAACCATTTAGATTTGAGGCTATGAAACGCTTGTAGGAAAGAAAGAGGGACATGTGACAATAAGTAATAGTCATAATGTGTGCCATTGGTCACCCAAGTCTCTAACATAATTTGAAGGAAGAGCCAGGCCTGCCTCTGCAGAGATGCGGAGGTTGTGGGTAGAAACAACAATTTAGAACTATTTCAGAATGAACTAGCATTAGAGTTTCTATGCATTAGAGTTTCAGAATGGCAAAAGGAAATAAGGTAATTTCTTATAGGACAAAGGAAGTAAATCTTATAACTTCAATAATATAAATAAACTGATATAAAACTTTAAAATGGAAATAATCTTCTTTGAAAGCATCATAAATATAAAGAGAAAGAAAAGAAGGGAAGAGGGAAAAGGAAGGAAAGAAATAATTGACAAATTGAAAAAAGAAGGGAGGGAGGCAAGGAAGGAGGGAAGGAAGGAAGGAAAAGGAGGGAGGGAGGAAAAGAACAGATGAATGGCATAGAAAGCATAAAGTTTGGAGACGGGCAAACCCAAACCTGGATTTAGGTTCTGAATCTAATAGTTTTACCTTGGACAAGTTTTTTAAATTCTTCTCTTTCCTTAGCTCAAAAAATGGAGATAGTATTTTTGTTATGGAAATTAGATGAAAATATGTAAGGAAAACATCCATCACTGTATCTGGCATATAGAAAGTGTAAAGTATATGTGCAAAAATAGTGTTTGACAATCTGTACAGCATAACTTCCTTGAAGTAATTGAATACTCTGAGATAAGGGCTTTTAGGATGAGGCAGAAAAGAGATATGTTTTCCATGAATATATTTGTGCTGGTAGCGGTGAAGTTAATAAAAAATCTCTGTTCTCTCCTTTTCCCAAAGTATCTCAATGATTTTAAGCAAACCCCCAGTTCAATTTCTTCCACTGTCATTTCCATATTTTAAAGTAAAGTGTGCTGGACACAGATGCTATTAGTTTCTGTTAGAACACTAGTGTAAGCCTCCATCACCCGTCACCTAGGTAACACAGGCACCTGCCAAAGCCTTATTATTTCCCCACTTTCTCTTTTACTCTCTCCTAACTTAAAAAAATTCCAATCTTTAGAAAAGTATGAAGAGTCAGTTAACTTACTGTCTAAGTTTTCAAATAAAATCCAGAATTCTGGCAAGGGCCCCTAAAGCCTTGCTTGACCCTAGTGCTG